CGCTTGAATGTGAGCAGTGAAAGAAGGGTGTGTTGTACAGAAATTCACTTCAGCTTGACTGAATGCAAAGTTTGTACTGCACTTATATTTAGGTGTATAAAGATGGCAGTGTGGTGCATGTGGAAGGGGGGCATGATGTTTGCTGTTGGTTACGATGGAGTAGCAACCTCTCTGTGATGAGAAAACAGTCATTTAGAGTGTGTGTTTGTGTGTGGGCAGACTTACTGTTTCAAGGTGGAGGACAACGGGGCTTTAGTGTGTCTAATCTGCAGATAGGTTCTAAAAAGATCCGGGACAGCGCTACATAACCTGGATTAGTTGAACGGACGCAGGCAGAGCTGGAGGAGGAGCCACATCCGAGACTGAAATAAGTGTTAGGGTGTTAAATTGGAAAGCAGCGTTCACATTGCAATCAAGCCCCGGCCAGCGCCAGATTAAAATGAGATGGAACCTCAGTGACTCCCACTGGGGAATCAGGTGGTTTCAGCAGCAGATAATGGGACTGAGCAGAGGAAGATGTCCCTTCACACAGGGAATTGAGCGATGTGTGGATTTAGCACAGATGAGGCAATCAATCAGCCACAGTCATAACTGGAAGAGAGAATAACATAAAGTAAAAAGCTGCTTTTCCACATGATTGATATGTTTGTCTTGATGTGTTCAAATAAACAAAATATTATTAAAAATTTACAAATGAAAAGAAAAAATATATAATCACCCTGAATGTCGACAGCATTCCTGCAGATCTTCAAAAGCTCTTGAAATTCAAGGTGCATCAAAAAGAATAATACAATTTAAGTAAAGTAATGGACAAGTTTTAAAATACATGAAAGAGTATGAAGCTAAATGTAAAGTTTTACATACGATACAACTCTTCCCATACTCGAGCAAAGTCTGAAGTAACTGCACTTTTTTTCCTTAACTTGGGAGGAAACAAATAGATGCTTTTAGTTAGGGTTACATTTTGTTTGTTACTGTTATAATTGCAACTAGAACTACAGCAATTAGAATTTTAAATGACACAACTACATCAATAACAACTACAAAGTCCAAAGTACTGGAACGAGCCGCCCTCATGCAGCTCCAGCTATTTCTCGACAATAACAATCTCTATGAGAAGTTCCAGTCTGGTTTTAGAGCTCGGCATAGCACAGAAACCGCCCTACTGAGAGTTTTTAATGATTTGCTTTTAACTGTTGACTCTGGTTGTGCTGCTGTCCTAGTAACCCTGGACCTGACAGCAGCCTTTGACACTGTTGATCACAACATACTGCTATCCCGCCTTCAACATTGTGTTGGTTTAAAGGGCACTGTCTTAAAGTTTTTCCAGTCCTATTTGAATAATAGGAGTTTTTCTGTTCACCTTGGTGAACTGTCATCTCCCAGAGCTCCTTTAACCTGTGGCGTACCTCAGGGGTCCATACTAGGCCCCCTGTTGTTTATTCTGTACTTGCTCCCTCTGGGCGATGTGCTCCGTAAACATAATGTGTCCTTCCACATCTTTGCCGATGATATTCAGATCTACCTCCCTCTGAGGTTGAACTGCAATGTTTCTTTGCAGCCGCTACTCTCCTGCCTGTCTGACATTAAGACTTGGATGACTCTTAACTTCTTACACCTTAATGAAAGCAAAACTGAAGTCATTGTGTTTGGGCTTCCCAAAGATCCCAACTTCTCCCTTGACTTTTTGGGACCCCTAACCTCTGATTGCACTTCTTCCATTAAGAGTCTTGGTGTTATTTTTGACAATGCTTTTAAACTTGATAAACAAATCAGCTCTGTAGTTAAGGGATCTTTTTATCATTTGCAGATTTTAGCCAAAGTCAAGTCTTACCTTTGCAGGAACGATCTAGAAAGAGTGGTCCATGCTTTTATTACTTCACGGCTAGACTACTGCAATTCCCTCTATGCTGGCCTAGATCGTTCCTGTCTACATCGCCTTCAACTGGTGCAGAACGCTGCCGCTCGCCTGTTGACCGGTTCAAAAAAAAGAGACCACATCACTCCGGTTCTCTGCTCTCTCCACTGGCTCCCAGTTGCCTTTAGGATTGATTTTAAAATCTTACTGCTGGTTTTAAATGGCACTGCACCTTCTTACCTGTCAGAACTCCTTAGTACTTATTGCCCCAGGAGATCTTTGAGGTCAGCCGACCTGATGCTTTTAGATGTTCCCAGGTATAAATTAAAGACAAAGGGAGAGAGGGCGTTTGCTGTGGCTGCACCCAGACTGTGGAACAGCTTACCTCCTCACGTCAGACTCTCCAAAAGCCTAGAAACTTTTAAAACCGCTCTTAAAACTCACCTCTTTTCATTGGCTTTTAGAAAGGTTTAATTTATTTGTTTTATTTATTTTTATTTTATTTTTATCAGCGAGGTGTTACTACGAAATTGTGTTCTATTGTATTTTATCTGTATTTACTGTACAGCACTTTGGTCAGCCTTGGTTGTTTTTAAATGTGCTCTATAAATAAACTTGACTTGACTTGACTTGACAACAACTGAAGTTGCCTAAGGCTATAATCTGGCATATTTACATTTCTTAAAATGTTCATTAATAGTTATTGTCCCTCTTTTTTATTTAAAAAATGAAATAAATAAAGTAGCTACAACAATACCTAGAACAAGTACAGCAATATCTGGAAAATCAACAGCAATATTCTATTTCTATAACTATAACTATCAATAACTATAACAACAACACTACAAAGACTAAAAATAACTTGAACACGTACAGTATTACCTAGAAACATTATTTATAGATTACTTTTCTTAACAAAGATACAGAGAGCTTCACAGACAGAAAATCCAAATAGTAAGACATACCAGAAATAATTAAAAGCAGAAAAGAACAAAAAAGTCAATTCACATACTGAGAAATCACTTCTTGTTTAACACGTTTTGGCTCAAGGTTTTGTAAAAGAACTTGACCAAACATACTTAGAGATGTTTAGATGTTGATGTGCTCAAAGTTAAAGCCTCAAGTGTTCAACACAAGCTTTGACAGAATACCCAAACACTGACAAGTTAGCTTAATGTTTTCTGCCTGCAACATGAAAATAGCTGCTCACTGCTGAAAATTCAATATATTAACATAAAAAACCCAGGTTTGTCATAGATCAAGTTAAAGACAATTCTATTTCATTTTATTTGAATGAAATGTTCCTCCCTCCCTCACTGAGTACACATAACACGAAGTAAAAAAAAAAAAAAAAAATAGAAGTCAAGTTTGTTTTACAGTCTTGCCTATCAGTCTTTGTTCTCTCTTCTTATTTCAGCTGTTGCTCTGTCTGATCTCTTTTGTGTTCACGTGTTTATCGATAGCTTGCATGAGTTGACTTTTGTAATCCAAACACATTATATCAAAAGGCTGGACAGAGAACAAGGGATGAAAATGCTAAAAATCTGTTAGAAAGTTGGATACCTTGTCAACTCCCAAGTAAATGTTGAGTAAGCATTAAAAAAAGTTACAGGGAGCAGTCTTGGTGTATGATGGCCAAAGTTGTCAAAAGCCCGGGGTCTATTCAGTACACCCTGTTTTCTTTTTTTTAAAGCAGTCTGTACCAACCTGCTGCAATAAGTAATGAGTCAGTTTCGGAAAGACTTCTGAAAGGAGCTGCATGATAAAACCTGTGGATGATACAGCACTGACGAGAGCCCTGATTTAAATATCCCTGGTTGTAGTCAATACATGGTTCAGATATCCAGAGACTTCTGAAGCAAAACCTTTTCCATCTGTGGATAATCTCACAGATGCAGAATTTATTTCCCTTAACAGTGACGGGGAGATTAAACAGGCACGATGGTTATGCTATGTTACTCACTGGTCCTGATTATTTTCCCAGAAGGAAAGTTGTTCTTTTATTATAATGGTGTTTCTTGAAATCTTGCGCTGCAGTCTCAGACTTCCTGAACAGAAACTTTTATTGTATGTTTGAAGGGCAAGAATGACAACATGTGCTAACGAGACACATTGTCACCCTCCTATGAAGTTTTTTCCCTGATGTATTTGTCATGTATTTGTCAGTCATGTGTCCAGATAAGACCGACAAAAACAAATCTCTGAATATCTTTTAAAATTTTGATTGAGGGAACGCCACAACGGATAATCTGATTCATTATATTCATTCATGAAGCTCTAGACCTTTGAGACCGTACCAAATAGAAGGACTTGCCCCAAATATAAAAATCGTTTTAGAAGAGAGCCTTTGGTCAACAAGATGTGACTGAGAGGAAGTAAACCTCTCAGGGTTTCCTAGATGAACCTGTGGAAGGATCATTAAGGTTTGCCTGCAGCTGCCTTTATCCCCAGATAGCTCAGGGCCCCTCGTGCTTTTTGCATTATGCAATAATTTACTGTTGGCTTTAGCTCTGTGTAGCTACAGTGGACCAGAGGCTCCAAAAACCTCCAAACCGCCTGATCAGGGAGTAAATCCTTACACGTGTCCCCACTACCATAACCCTTAACTTTTAAAGTTTAAGGAAATCCTCTATAAATAAAAGACACCTTACTTTAAGTTGAATAAATACACAATGAATAATACTAGCAGGCAGTCCACATTACAGCATTGCCCAAAACAACTCTGACTATGATTTTTTTTTTTCGAGTATCCATTATTTTTCTCAACCTTCAGTGACGTTAATCTGAAGAACTTTGGGTCTTGGAAAGTTGGCTGATTAAATCAAGACATTGTGCTATGTCAGCTTGAGCAGTGGGAATATCTTTCCGACAACCATTGATTGAATCTGGGGTAGTTGATGTCAGTTGCAGCTCTGTATTTATTCATGCATGTGCTGGATATTTTTTAGGGTAGTTTAGAAACGCATAGTTAAACGTACAGGCTGATTCACCGAGTGAAAAACGAGCCTCATCGCTCGGTTAAAATGATTTGATTCTGTTGTTACGGCTCACAGTTTATTGTCCCGTTTAACTCTCTTCATTTCTCATCTTCTCCTCCTCCCTCTCCCCCCCTCCTACCCCTCCGCTTCCTCTCCCCTGTCAGATGATGAAGCATGCGTGGGACAGCTACAAGCGGTACGCCTGGGGTTCCAACGAGCTCAGGCCTGTCTCCAAGCACGGCCACTCCAGCAATCTATTTGGTGAGTGAGAGACCACGTATGTGTGCACGCCCAAACACGCGTACACCCAAACACACACACACACGCACGCGCGATTGATCTCTTGTCCCTGCCACCAGCAGCCTTGGCCTTTAGATTAGCAGCCAAATTGGCCGTCAGTTAGAGTCATCCATCTACACATGCCTCTAAATGTCAACTTTATCATATATTTATATTCTGTTTGTGCTTCTTCCCAGTTGTCAGTGTCTGTGCTCGTAATGAGTACGGTGATGCGGGGTGTTTTATTCTCTCTGTCTTCTTTTTTTTGTTTTGTTTTTCCCTCTCCTCGGTTTCACACTTTTGTAACTCTTCTCTGAAAGTCTTAATTGTCTGTCAGCCTTTCAGTTTTGAGGGTAGAATTACCACCTCTTGGTTGAATGTCTCCTCTCAGATCTGTCAAGTTTCAGTTTACATCCATGTCTCTCCACACTTAGAATACATGCAGTGAAGACTTTGAAGCAATTAAATAGGTGGGCACCAGAGATTAGTGTCACCAATTCAATAGCAGACTGAATTTGAAATATGATCCTTTCTGTTCCATAGTGATAGTGGTAAATAAAGGCCAAAATAATGCTTCATGGCAGTCTCTGACCTTTCTCTTATGAGTCTGCTCAGTTCAGTTTTATTTATATAGTGCCGGTTCACAATAAATATGTCAGACCTACAGTATTAGAGATAAAGCACAAAGAGACAATCACCTCAGACCAGAACTCTGTAATGCCTCTTATTTTTTTCATTTGTATTTAGAAAAAAGACCCAGAGCCAATTTTATCCTATTAGTTTTTGTGCAAATTTTTTTTACCATAAGTACCATATACATTTTTGAGTTATTGCCAGAAATATTGTCAAAATTCTCACATGTAATCCTGACCTTTGACTATCAAAATCTAATCCAAATGAACACAAAGTAGTACAGTGATAGTAAATCTATTTATATTGCCCCCTTTAAGATTCAGATCACAAGGTCCTTTACATCAAATGCAAGCCCAGAAAAACCCCAAAAAACCCCAATGAAACTGAATGTCCCAGCGCCAGTTTAAAAAGATGAGTCTTCAGCTGCTTTCTGCTCGAGTCCGTCGTAGACTGGACGGCAGAGAATTCCTAAAATTGCAAATTCCCTCTAATCTTTAGTTTCTTAGTGTACATTTGTGGATTGATAACAAGCCCTGATCAGACCTAAGAGCTGCTAACATATCGCTGCACAGATCTTGGCTGCGTTTAGCTGGACTCAGAAAGACAGTATACTGACAGTATACTGCTACTGATGATAACACATTTAAAAATAGGTATATGATAATATTGCAAAGAATCCAGTGGTAACACAGTTATAGTTACATCCTCACTACTAAGTTCATCACAGCTCTCTTCTCTTGATTGATAGCACTTTAAAAACAATTCTTCATTGCAATCTTTCAATAAAAATGGTCATTATCTATACTGTATATTCTTTTAGCCATGATAGTCATACAATGAAAATCTGAACTGTGACAGCTTTATTAATGTTAAATGGAAGTGAAGCATACATCATTTCTGCAGGTGTTTGTGTGAGCTCTGTCTGTATGCGCCACGATAACTTTAATTAATTGCGACCGATTGAATAAACGGGAGCAGAGACTGTGTTTTTAATTTAAGATCTTTCTCTCTTTTGTCCTAATAACCCCAGGGTGTTTGTTTGGAGTCCTTTAGCTGTGCATATGTAGGTGGTGTATGACGGTTTAGTGTGGGTTTGTATTGTGAGCTTTCGATAAGATGACAGCCCCGTGTGACAGAGGTAGCTGAGCCTCTTCTGCTGATAAGGTTGATGCCACGATACTCTCTAGCTTGATCTGGTTTGAAGTTTTCCTGCACTCTTGCATTTTTTTTCTTTAAAAGTTGCCCTCTAATGTCACGGTGCAGTGAAGGCTTTTCATTTTTAATTCACTCGATAATTTCAAGTAAACTCCCTGTAATTAAGAAAAGAATGAATGTTAAATGGGTGTGTCAGCTGAGTGGAAGGAAACTGAATAATTGAAGTGTTGTTTAAACTGATATAAATTAATTATTTTTTCACTCAGAAGCAGCTGTAAAAGCTGTAAACACAACAGTGACGAGTAGATTTAACATCTAGTGGGTGTTTGTCAGTTTGCCCTCTTCGTTCCTAGGGTGGTGTAAAGCTTTAACAATCAACCTGTATCCCCTCCCGTCAGATCTATCTGTTTTGGGGCAATATTTCCAGTTGTTGGTATATAAAGCGGACTATGTTATGTGGATCCGGTACATAAGTAGGACACGGCAAAGCTATTGCATGCATTTAGTACTCCTTTTCCTCTGTTTTTATATTTTGAGGTTATTTTCCCTTAATATTGGCTTTAAAAATCAAAGCTAGGAGCAAAATATGCTAATATACTCTGCTGAGCTGAGACTAACCCGATAGATTACATAAGGAGAAGACATGGCGCTCAAAGATTCCTGACCTGGAATCTATGGGAGGATTCTGCAGCGCAGATGGAGGGAGAAGTCTAACTTCATGTGAAGGTGGATTAAAAAAACAAAACTTTTTAAAACCTTATTTTGGGGGACACTCTGCAAACTTTTGAAGAAGTTTTCATCCGATTCGACTGATTCTATACATGCAGTTTTCAAACCCTGACGACAATTGAAATAAATTTAACTTAACCTAGAAGAAGTGCCTGAGGTAGTTTAATGGCTGCTGGGTTGCCTCTGGAAGGTCTTGTGGGGTAAACTGCAGATTTGGCTTCTCAACTACAGCTGGTTTCATAATATATTGAGAAATTATTCCACTGTTAAAAATGTGAGACAGTGAGAGGGGTTTTAAATTGTAATTGTAATTTCCTATTTGTTTTAAATAAAATAAGTTGTACTTCCTCAGGAATGATATTTTGGCCAACGAGTGCTATTTCTGAATGAAATAAAAACCTGGTACAGTTGTGAATATTACTGCACCACTTGTCCACAACTGTTTTGTTCTGTTGCATTACAGTTACAGGAGCTGTGGTTATTTCGCTTTTTTCCTGCACACAGTTTTATGCAGAGTATAAAAAATAAAGAAAGTGAGGTTTTCTTGCTCCTTCTAAGCAGAACTTCTGAAATTTTTCTGTTCTATTCTGTTCTATTAGCAAAAAAAGACAACCAGAGATTGGCTCTTATTTAAATATTTGGCCGGAAATATAAATCGTAGCATATCAAATGTAGACTTGGCCCCGTAAGACAGTGTTTTTCATTTTAGATTATGCCACTTTGAGTTTTTGCCTCAAAAACCCCCTCAAAGTCTTTTTCAGTACACAGTCAGGAAGATTCGAAGCTAATTTTTAATGATTGCCTTCTTATGTTTAATGAGGAAATTCAATCAGCTTTGTGTAAATTTCATCTACAGTTTCATTACTGAAATTTATCAAACGTAAACGTAGGACTAGGGAGGAAGCTGCTGTGTGAATATTAATTGTCAGATCACCTCTTAGAGTTGGTCTTTCTACGTGTTTCTCTCTTTCTCTATCCGTCCCTGTGTCTGTGTGATAGAAAAGTAAATAGGTTTTAGTTGGTAGCTCCAGTAGACCCACTTCCATCAGTAAATAAGACAGCTTGGCCCCAGGGCCTTGTCACTGCCTTTTCCAGCTCCTATAGAACATGATGTAGGACGATGATATTAGCCTGACCTGAAATATTATGCAATGAAGCCACACACCTAAGGCTGCTTCCATGATATATATACTCTTACTTGGATTGCTGAGTCAAACTAGCCAGGAGAGGTGTCAATTAGAATGATGACAATGTCCTCTCAAAATCAACAATAAGAGCACAAGAAGTATTACGAGACCTACTCTGTGTTTTCCTCGAGACAGGATTTAAAGGATTATAAATTACTCATGGTTATTCTTTGCCTAATACCACTTAATGTTAATGCACTTTAGCGTGTTGCGTAAGCGTGACAACTGTCAGAGGGATAAAAATGAAACTTCCAGCTGCCTGTTTTATTTTGGTGGTGTTCGACTTTCTGGCTCAGAAATTGTCACAGCGGGTTTGAAACCAACGGTGGTTTAAACCTTTCCGATTGTCCCATTTATAATAAATGTTAGGACTGCAACTTTAAATGATTGTAATATTGTTCTGCCTCCAAAATCTTTATTAGCCATCCATATTGTTGTGCATGGTACTGTCAAAGCACAATATAGATCATTGTTCAGGAGTTTAAAAAAATATACAATAAATTGACATTCTGATCCTTTTTTGTGAGTTGGGCTCATGTGGGTCTAAATATGTGTTTTTGAACAGTGCGATGTCTTGGATAACGCACATTTTATTTCTGTCAAGCTGTTCAGTGGAAGAAGCCTCCAGATGGGTTGGTTCTACTTTGGGGAAAGTTGGATGTGTCTCCTCTGTGGTCACTCCCTGAAGCAACAAAACTCCTTGGTCTCAGACGCCAGCTGTGCTGTCAGCTGTTTCCACTGTATCGAATGTGTTTGGCTGGATGTTGCGGCACTTTTGGGATATATTGCAGTGCTTTTGTTTGTCCGCGTAAAAATCTTAGTGTACAAAATTTGAAGAGCTTGAAAAAAGAAGGCAACTGGACTTCTTTGAGTTTTGTGAAGACGTGTCAACTCTCATCCAACCCAAAAGACCAGGCCTCTCGGTCTTCTGGGGACCTTTGATAACACTGTGATGGCTTCTGCAGTTTTTTATGCAGTGGTCTGCTGGGAGGTGGCAGCACAGAGAGGGGCAGGAAAGAACTTGTAGACTGAAGAGGGCCAGCTCTGTCCTGGCCTGTCCCCTAGACTAGACCGCAGAGGAGGAGGGGGGAATGAAGTTTAGCCAACCTAATGTCCATTATGGACAACACCTCTCATCCCTGCATGAGACTGTGGGGAGGCCGTGAGCACCTCCTTCAGCAGCAGATTGTTAGAGCCATGGTGTAGGACAGAGCAATCAGACATAGGATAAACACCTGCTAAAATATGTGTATATATTATAATTCCCACTGCACCTTA